GCCAGGATATCACAGTAAGAAGGTGAAAAATTTGAATGGAAACAGGTCCTGGGCACTGCACATGACACAGGGATTTAGATGAGAATCAGCATCGTGGAAAAACGTCTTGCAGGCTGAGACCTGTGACCTGTGACCTCTAAAATGTTCACTAACAAGCCACTCCTCACAACTCTGCTCAAAGCTTTAAACTTGGAGGGGCACTGCTCCGAGGAGACAGCTACACCAGCCCCCCCGCGGGCCCCCCCCCCCCCCCCCCCCCCCCCCCCGAGGAAACTCCTCCGGCCAAAGAGCCAAAACCAAACAAACAAACGTGCTCCCGACTGGATGAAGGTGAACCCAGGGCCGAGAGGCCTGACCCAGCAGTAGAGCTCACACGTGTCCCCTGGGGACGGTCCCCCCACATCCACAAACAAGCACAGACTCAGCACATGTGCAGGGGCAGGAAACTCCTGAGCTGGGCTCCCGCAGGGGTGCAGTGAACAGTAGACTTTAATGGCCAAGAAGATTCCAGCTCCCTGCATGAGACCCACATCCTCTCCAGGGTTGTCACTCAACCTCGGGTAATATTGGTTCAAGGAAGAGAAACAAGGGCCCTATTGTGTGGAAGCAGCAGGCCAGAGTCCTTCTGAATCGCTGCAAGCCCGGCTCTGAGCAGGCTGGGCAATGCGTTTACTGATGGACAGTCAGGTCAGACCCCACCATGTGATAGCAGAGAAGTTACCCCAGCACCTAGGGGGATGTTCAAGAATACCCACAGAGCTAAGGTCCTTCATTTTTCATACCAAAACCCAGAAAGATGGCCAGCCCTGTCTCTCACCTTGGCCTGTTAAACATCCCCTTCGCAACCTGAGCTTATCCACAAAGTCCATCTTCAGGGATTATGATCTCAGAGGTGCCAATGCCATCAGTGCTGGTCACTCATCTGGGACAGGTGGGCTACGAAGCCCAGAGTTGGTTCCTGGAAACCGGGGCTGGAATTAACTGGGGAGCTGGGTGCCCGGCCAATACGGCCTTTTCCGTTTCCTCTGTCAGCCCCCGCACTCTTCTCCCTTTAAGGCCTTAAGTGTTAGCGCACAAACATCCCCCTGCCCTTAATTACAGGCCTGGGCTTCCTGGGGAGGCGCTCCGCTCAAGAGGGGCAGGGACCTCAGCCGGCAGACTCCCCGGCCTATATTCCCCTCACTGGGTTCTCTGAATTGTGTCTTCAGAGCGGATTTGTCTGCGGCCCAATGACAGCCTACATTCCTTCATTTCCTACAATGTTGCAGTCTTTCAATGTCTGGCTACACTTCTATGGCAGTTCTAGTATTGACATAATTTCAGAACTTACTAGAATGGGGAGGTAGTGCAGGCAACATACAAGGTGCCTGACTGCCCAGGGGCTTCTAAACAAGCTCCACATCCAGAGCAGCTTTCCAGACGTCCCACAGCCCGGCCTGGCAGCACCCGTCTGATGTTCTTCCTCGTCAAGAGCCTCCTCAAAACCGGTGAGAAGCCCTGGCCGGGCAGCTCAGTTGGGCAGAGTGTTGCTCTGATACGCCAAGGTTGTGGATTCCGTCTCCGGTCAGGGCACATCCAAGCAACCAACAAATGCATAAATAAGTGCAACAACAAATCAATGTTTCTGATTCTCTCTCTAAAAAAAATCAATAAAAATTTAAAAATAACTGGGCACCAGGAAGTGGCTATTCCACAACAGAATGCTAAGAGCACACCACTCAGTGAGAGACCCATAGCACAGATACTGGGCAGCACAAACCGGCTCTGAGAGGTGTCATGTTGGTTTTCTGTTCGGGACAAGGGAGGGGAAGCTTTGACCATAAAAACCCTTTGTTAAAGCCCATCAAGGACCTCAGGGAAAACAAAATAAAAGCTTTGTGATTACTGCACGTTTCAAAAGGAAATAGGATACGCTGCACATGGTGAGTGTGGTAGGTGGGAGAGCCAGGGACAGCCTTCTGTATTCAATGTGTGGCATCTGTAACCACTCAGGCGCCAGACCTGAGAGCCTGTGCGATGGGAGAGGTTAATCCTGGGGCGACCCGCGCAGCAGGGCTGGGACAGCGTAGGTGCTAAGACTGGAGATCTGCGCTGTGCATCACCTCTCAGCCTAAAGAGGCCCTGGGCTCTGGTTTCAGGGGACTCTCCACCATGTACACCAAAGCCCCAGATACTAAGTCCCCCAATCCTGAGTCCAGGCAAATATCCTAACCTTTCAGCTCAAAGAAATCTTCACAGGAAACCATTTTTGTTTCCTTAAGAAAATAAATATTATCAGGTCAAGGGAAAGTACAGGGGCTGGACAGGAGCAGGAAGTGGGGCCAACACTTTCAATGAGCTTCATGGCTCCCTCCTCCACGCAGTACCAGCTAGGACATCAGGGTCCCCATCGTGTCCATCTGTCTGCATGTCCAGGTGTCCGATGCTCACAACCCATTTCCCATCCCAGGGCTGCACGAGTTACCCCTTTCTTGGAGATGATACAGTGTACCCCGTGTTGGCTGTGAGCCCCAGGTGGCCCCAGTGACTTGGGGTAGTGCAGGCTGGACATTCTGGTCAAACCAGGCGTAAATCCTTGTTTCTATTTTACCACAAGGGAAGAAATGCAAATCAAGTTTGGAAGATGTCCAGTTAAGATCGTATCCTCATGGTCAGCTTTTCCACAAAAAGAGTGAGTCCGAGCCCTGGGCCACTGCCGCGGGAGAGACAAACAAGTCTTGCCTGTCAGCGCCGCCGGAAAGCCCGGGATATTCTCCAGGCGTTGGGCTCCTCATAGTGGTTGTACAAGGGTTCCAGGCGCTGCTGCTTCTTCTGCTTGCTTAACTTCGTCGGGTCGGAGACCTTGAAGAAGGCAGGAGCGAACTCCACCAGCCACCGGGGGTCGATGGTGGTGACCTCACGCATGTACTCCTTTGTGGTCAGCACCAGCTCATGGTACACCACCCTGAGGGGATAAAGACAGGATCGAGTCTCCAGTCACCCTGGTCCCCGATGGGCCGCAGCTGAGCTTGCATTTTAGCCTCTCGCCTCTCCTGCCCGACCCCTCAGGAGACTGTAGTCTCTCTTTGTTACAACCACACTCCAATACCGAGGCGGCTGCACACCTCTGAGCACAAGAAAGCTGTCAGAATCATGTGTTCTAGACCTGGCTCTGGCTCCATCTATTCACTGACAGAGTCGATCACACCACTTCTCTGGACCTGTTTCCTGCTCTGTGAAACGGGACGGTGGTTTTTCAGGCTGTCTCCACAGAACTCTAGGGCCCTGGAGAGGCGCCTCAGGAGCTGCCACAGGGAGATGGGGGAAAGCCAGGCAGGCAAGGCTCCGTATCTCCAACCCTCCTACCATGGCGGCACGATGGTCTTAAATCCGTTTTATATTAGGATAGGTAAGATTACAATTTTTTTAAAATGCTACTTGAAAAAATTTCTTTAAACCACCTCACTAAATGATCTCAAAGATCCTTCCTACCTCTCACTCCCATTATTTTATTTCTCTCAAAAGAGTCTGACTGTGCCTAATTCACACTTCTGCTGCCCTAGAAATATAGGCAGTGTTAGAATAGGAAGTGCTGGGGCTGGGGGCAAAGGCACAAACACAAAGCGCCAATAGATTTGCAGGTTCTCTCTGCCCAGAACAGCTCCCAGACCCGGGCCTGCCCACCTACCATTCCGGCTGCCTGTTGAAGAGAGCACTGGAAGGGTGAATGTAGACCACTTGCTGGTCGATCAGTGTCCGGTAGCCCTCCTGTGGGTCTTTCTTGGCAGCATTTCGGAAGAATCCACTGCAGATGGCCTTCTGCACTCGGACTGTGGACTTTCCGCAGGAAACCACATCCAGCTTGTGTCTATCAGGAAAATGAATCAAGAGAGGACAAAGATATGAGACAACTCTGTTTTTAGAAATTCTACCTTCCAAAATGACGGTGCCCAACACGCCCGTCTAGGGTGTAGGCACCAGGACCCTTCTTCTAGCCCTAAGAGTACTAAAGGGGCAGCTCTGCCAAGTGGGCGAGATGGACACAGTAAGAGCCAGAGACTTAATTTAACTTGACTAATAATGTTTCAGATGCTCGTAGATTTTTTTCAACAATAAATTATCTTCCTCTCAGAAACTTTTTATTGATTGATATGAGAGAGAGAGGAGAAACATCAATGTGAGAGAGAAACATGGATCAGCTGCCTCCTACACCTGCCCCAAGTGGAGATCGAGCCCACACCTGGGTATGTGCCTTTATTGAAAATCAAACCCGCAACCCTTCGGTGCACGGGATGACGCTCCAACCAACCGAGCCACACTGGCCAGGGCTCTCGGGAACATTCTGAAGTGATTCTCAGCTGCACCCTTTCGTGGAGCGGAGTAGAACAAAAATGGAAACGCTGGAGAAAGAGTTATGCGAAGAATCTGTAGCTCCACAGTCCATACAGAGATGAACAGACACGACATTCAAGGAAGTTCAACTCAAACATGGGGAAAAGACACCAGATGTTACCTGTCCATTATGCCTAACATCTGCTTGCGAATGTCCTGGGCCCGGCGCAGAGAACGAGCTTGAATAAAGTTCTCATAGCACCAGGGGTTGGAAAACTTGTTGTTCTTCCAAGAATTGTACACGGCCAACAGGGTGAGGTGGTCTCCTTCGGTTTGGTGGAATTTGGCCTTCTTCTGATCAGCGAGGGCTTGTTTATCCTGCCAAACAGTGGGGAAGAAGATTGTTTCCCGCCCAGCAGCTACTGAATGAACACCCAGCAGTCCCAAGAAGCCCACACGGCCCTGTTAAGCGTCCACATTAAGCCCCGGAGTGGCAATGGCTGATTTCACTCATATGAACGTGGGTCCGAACTCCCTACCTTGGGCCTGTAAAAAACGTTCTGCACAGACAGCATGGACACAATGGTCAGCATTTCCTCACTGCAGCCCAGATGCACAGACATGATCAGCATTTTGCACAGCATTGGTTCCAGTGGGAATTCTGCCATCTAGAGGGAGAAGAAGAAACTACAATTGCTTCCCTGCGGAAGCTCCATCTGGACTTGCCAACGTGAGACACTGGTGAACAGACCATAGGAGGTTTACCCAAGCATGATGATGTGGGTGGAATGCCTGTCTCTATCAGAAGACATTGCTGTTTTTATTTCCCAAAGAAATTCCAATGAAATACATGTGATCAAGAACATAACTACTGTTATGGTAGGTGGAAATTTTGCAGACATCTGTTAAAATTAAGGCTAGACTCAATAATATATCCCAAGGTAAAACTGACTGTGGATAAAATTTATTTTTCTGTAAAGAAACAATTTTAAGCTCTGGCTAGTGTGGCTCAGTTAGCTGGAGCATTGTCCCATGCACCAAAGGGTGGCAGGCTCGTTTCCCAGTTAGGGCACATAACCAGGCTGCGGTTTCAATCCCGGTCGGGGCATGTGCGGGGGGGGGGGGGGGGGCAGCCGATCGATTTTTCTCTCTCACATCAATGACTCCCTCTTTCACCTCCTTCCTCCCTCTAAAAATCAATAAGATATAAAATAGTGGGAAATGCAGTTAAAAAACAGGCATCTAAAATTGTGCTCAAAACTTATCCAGAGCCTCAGAGCTTGATTTTGCCCCCCAAAAAGAGTAAAGAAGACTGGCCAGGGTACCTTTCCAAAAGCACCAGAAATTAAGTGTATCGCCTACCCTGCGGCCCAGGCGAGTAAGCAGGCCCTCATCATCCAGGGCCCCCAGTGTGTACAGTTGCTCCATGGCTGTGATCAAGGTTTCCATTGGTGGGGCATCCATGAAGTCAAAGGACAGAAGGTCATTGATGCCCATGGCCTAGAAGAGGAGGGAAGAAAGTGTGTGATGGGAGGGTCAGCCTCTCCAGTGAAAAAAGACTAATTACTGGCTTTCTTTCCTGTTTCTTCAACAGCAATTAGGAAGCCATCAGCAAGGTTAGCAGCATTCTCCAGGGCTGGGCCACACAAAACTCAAGACTAGTAGAAAGCATATACTTTCTCAGAAACTTTAAAAACACTCCTCAAAATGACAATACATACAACTCAACAACAAAAAGACAACAATTAAAAAACGGGCAAAGGACCTGAATAGACATTTCTTCAAAGGAGATACAAAAATGGCCAAGAAGCACATGAAAACATATTCAACCACCCAGCCAGCATGGCTCAGTGGTTGAGCATCGACCTATGAACCAGGTCACGGTTTGATTCACAGTTGGGGCACATGCCTAGGTTGTTGACTGAATCCCCAGTGTGGGGCATGCAGGAGGCAGCCGATCAATGATTCTCTCTCATCACTGATGTTTTTATCTCTCTCTCCCTTTCCCTTCCTCTCTGAAATCAATAAAAATATGTTTAAAAAAGAAAAGATACTCAACATAACTAGTGATTAGGGAAACGCAAATGAAAACCACAATGAAATACCACTTCATACCACTAGGAGGATGGCTATTAAACACACACACACACACACACACACACACACACACACACACACAAACCAGAAAGTAAGTACTGGCAAGGATATGGGGAAATCGAAATCCCCATACATTGCTGGTAGGAATGGAAAACAATTTGGTGATTCCTCCATAAGTAAAACATAGAGTCTCCATATCATCCAGTACTTCCACTTCCAGATATATACCCAAAAGAATTGCAAGCAGGGTCTCAAACAGATACTTGTACACTAATGTTCAGTGGCATTATTCACAATAGCCAAAAGGTAAAACCCCCCAAATATCCATCAATAGATGAACTGATCAGCAAAACATGATATATACACATAATGGAATATTATTCACCCTTAAAAAGGAATGAAATTTTAAAACATGCTACAACATGATCAATTCTGAAAACATTATGCTAATAAAATAAGCCAAATACAAAAGGACGAACATTGTTTGATTCCACTTACATGAGATAAATTCATAAAGAATAGAAAGTAGAATAATGATTACCAGGAGCTGGACGGGGGGGCGGGGGGGGATAGTTGTTTGATAGGTACAGAGTTTCTGTCTGGGATGATAAAAAAGTTCTGGAAATGGATAGTGGTGATAGCTGCACAACACTGTGCATGTAATTAATGCCACTGAACTGTACATTTTGTACATTTTTAAAAGGTAACAATGGTAATGTGTTGTGTATTTCACCATAATTAAAAAAAAATAAGACAATACGCCATATTGTCCTGTCTCTTGCATACATAATTTCCACTGTGCATCTAGGAAGTGTCATGTATCATATTCAGTGGCAGAGATATGAAGATGACTAAGATACTATCCCTACTCTCAAAGAGTTCATAATGGTGAGATACATTGACACAACAAGGCTCCATGCCTGGCACAGAGCAGGCCATCAATACATTTGTTCTCCTAATTTGATGAATAAAAGAAACAAACGAACGATGCATTAACCAAATGTGTACATAGGGTGATGTGGTAAGACCTAAGCTTTCTGTGTCTTTCCTATAAACTGATTGTGACCATAAACACAGCAGGTGTTCAATAAATGTTTATTGTATGAACAATGACTGTAAGAAATTATGTTAGCAATCAGTAAGCAATGTGCCAACTGCCTTGACCTGGCATTATCTCATTTACCTCCACAACAGATACTATTAATAGCACCCCCTTTCGAGAGGAGAATACAGACCAGAGGGCCTCACAGGTAAATTTGTTAAGAACACACAGCCTGGAGCAGAAATTTGAGCCACACATGCCTTTCTGTTCTCACTCCAGAGACTGGAGCAAGTTTTTCTCTGAAGCTCTGTTTTAGCCTCTCTCACAGGGAATGAATACTAAATTACAACAGAGCAGGCTGCACCAGCAAAGTGCCAGGCCTCCAGGGTAGCATCTGTGTTGGGGGTTGGGGGTGTGCCATCATCTGGAAAATTACTCTTGTGGCTCCCCCTGCCAAAGGAGAATGAAGGACCTCACTGGGGCCTGAGGGAGGAAGAGCAATGATGCAGAATGAAAACCAAGCCCCCAGAGAGCCAGTCTGAAACCTCCACTGATAGCTTCCTCTGCAAAGTTTTTGGACTGGGAGTTTTGCTTCCGTTCTAAAAGAACAGAATTGAATCGAAAAGCTAACGGGATGAAGGAAGTATGTTTGTCCATAGTTTGGCACTGATTAGATTTTTCTAATATCCTTTTAGAAAATGCTCCTAACTAAAATCTTTTACAAGCAAACATTCTGCTGGTTAGCACAGTAAGGAAAAAAAAATGTGTGTTCACCGCAAATGTACCAACTTAGCCCGACCCACAGTGGAAAAGCTGTTATCACAGCCATTTGCATTTCATTCAAAGGGAATGGTTCTATGAGGGTCCTAAAGTATTTAACAAGGTTCATAAGACGGAGATTAATTTACTAAGGCCACAGCATTGGACTGTCCCACCAAGCCATTCTAGCAAGACAGTGATTTCTACCTTGAGCGAGAGCACTGTGCTTGCTAAGTTGGTTCTCTGGATCTCCGGCACATTGGTGGTCAGCATTTCGTCTCGGTAGGCTCGTTCTGTGTATAGCCTGTAACACTTCCCTGGGCCTGTTCTTCCAGCTCTGCCAGCTCGTTGCTTTGCCTGAGCCTGGAGGAGTGAGCATATAAAAGTAACGTATCTGTTAAACATCATCTAACAGCCTTACCCAGGAAATCTGTTAAGAGGGGTACTTAACTACTGGCAAAAATCCGAAATGGGGTTTATTTCACTTCCTTTAGGACCATTTCCAAGACTACCAATGTTATTATCATCCCCGCTCCGACACTCAATATTTCAGGAAAGCTTGTTCAAGTGAGGCAAACACAGACAAAGTGAATGGAAGAAATATTATAAAATCACAGAAATATACCTTCCAAATAGTGTGGCACAACATGAAAGACAAAGCATAGAACAAGATGACAGTTAATGCCCAAAATGTAAGTGAACTAAAACAGTAATATACCAATGATGACTACAGCCATTTTAAAAATCCTCAAAGCTAGAACTAAATGTTCACGCACTTGGTGGAAGAGCAAGTTACAAAACAATGTAATACTGATTTTGTAAAAAAAAATCTTTATGATCTAGTATAAACTACCAGAAGGAAAAAGCTGGGGAGAAACACCCTGAAGTGTTAACTGTGGCTAACTGACAGTAGGCTTGCAGATGGGTCCTATTTTCTTTACTTTATCAATATCCAATATTGAACACATATTACATTAATAACCAGAATTAAATACTTAAAAATATACAAAACATACTTACTAGACTATTAGAATTACAATCATGAAAGAAACAAACATGGGAAAAGGTGTGTACAAGGAAAACATCAAAATTATGACAGTAGTGATAGTTTATGGGTAATTTAAAATTTTTTATATTTCTCAGAAATAATGTAATATTACTTCTGTACTTAGGGGAGAGGAGTGCTAATTTTTGAATTTAAAAAATATAGATATGGCCTGACCAGTGTGGCTCAATTGATTGAGCATCAACCCATGAACCCAAGAGGTCTTCGGTTTAATTACTGGTCAGGGCACATGCCCAGGTTGTGGGCTTGATCCCTGATGGGGGGCATGCAGAAGGTAGATCGATTTTTCTCTCTCATCAATGTTTCTATCTCTCTGTCCATATCCCTTCCTTGCTCTCTAAAGTCAATAAAAACATATTAAAAATATGTGTATATATAAATATGTAGTTTAGCCACAGGTTGCTAGGAAACATTGAATAGCAATCTGAAGGGGCCCATTTTTTGACAAAACAACCTGTCTTACAAATGGTAACAGGATTTACAAATTCCTTGTGCCAGCTCCAAACAAAGGATGTAGTATGAAAGGTCACTAACCACACAAAGGCAGTCAAGCAACCACACAAGGTAGCAGACTCCACAGCATTCTAAGATGTCTCTCCAAATCAGAGAGGGCCAGTGTAACTAACTTCTCCATCTCTGTGAGTTGCCCGCACTACGCCGAGAAGTGGTACAGAGCACATGCACAGACTGCCCAGGCTCAAATCCTGGCTCCACCAGCAATGTGACCTTAACCCAGAGGTTCTCAACCTGTGGGTCGCGACCCCCTTGGCAGTCAAACGACCTTTTCACAGGGGTCGCTTAAGACCATCCTGCATATCAGATATTTACATTACAATTCATAACAGTAGCAAAATTACAGTTATGAAGTAGCAACGAAAATAATTTTAGGGTTGGGGGTCACAACATGAGGAACTGTTTTAAAGGGCCAGAAGGTTGAGAACCACTGCCTTAACCCCTCTGTGTCTCAGTCTCATCTGAGAAATGAGGATCATAGAGCTATAGGGGGAAAAAGAGGAACAACTGTAATAATCTGAACAATAAAGATTTAATAAATTAAAAAATAAATAAATGACATTTTCAAGAATGTTAAAAAAAAAGAAAGAAATGAGGATAACAACATCTACCTCAAAGTATTGACACAAGAATGTAATCAGTTCATGTGAGTGAAAGTACCTATGACAGTGCCTGGTAAGGCACTTAGTAAGTACCCTGCAAGGGTACTATTACTTGCGTTAGCTACTATTACTTAGTTTCAAAATGAGAATAGCCTGATGGCCCTAGCTGGTTTGGCTCAGTAGATAGAGCGTCGGTCTGCAGACAGAAGGGTCCCGGTTTTGATTCCGGTCAAGGGTACATGCCTGGGTTGCAGGCTCGATCCCCAACAGGGGGTGTGCAAGAGGCAGCCAATCAATGATTCTCGCTCATCACTGATGTTTCTCTCTCTCTCTCTACCTCTCCCTTCCTCTATGAAATCAATAAAAAATACATATATTTTTAAAAAGTGTAAAGAAAAATAGTGTACTTCACCCATTAGCACAGTAACCAGCAGCACACTGAAAAATAACCTCAACTAACATTTCAACTACATACTTTCAAGTCTCAGGCAGGTTCACATACACTGTGCACAAGTGCACACCATCTATTTTTAAACAAAAATTGGATTATACTAATCCTGCTATTTTATAGCTCACTTCTTTCAAATAATATATCAGTTATATGTTTATGTCATTAAATATAGATACACATCACCATGATAATGCCATATAACATTCTATGGCATGAATATAACATATTTTATTAAACTACTTCCCTTTGGAGGGAATATTTCCAGTTTCTTTTAATATAAACAGCCATTCAGTGAAAATCCTTTTGCATTACCTTCAGATATGTATTCAACCATTCCTAACTTTCAGATATTTTGGAACTGTTAGGTTAAAGAAATGGTTTTTTAAAAATTTTGCCTACATTGTGGCCAAACTGCCCTCTAAAAGGATAATCAGGTTATTCATTTTAAATATAATTTAGGCAGGAAATTATTCCATAATTACCAAAAAACACATGATCATCTCATGAACTGTTACTATCTCAGATATTGCTGGCTAAGTACAGTACTTTAAAAATAGGCTCTGCCATAGCTGGTTTGGATCAGTGGATAGAGCATTGGCCTGCGGACTGAAGGATCCCAGGTTCGATTCCGGTCAAGGGCATATGTCAGGGTTGCAGGCTCAATCCCCGTTAGGGGTCGTGCAGGAGGCAGGCAATCAATGGTTTTCTCTCATCATTCATGTTTCTATCTCTCTCTCCCTCTCCCTTCCTCTCTGAAATCAATAACAAAATATTTAAAAAATAAAATAAAAATAGACTCTTACTACCCATACTAGGTAATCTATGGTGCTAGGATTCAAACTTATTTTAAGTTCAAATTTTTTTAAAATCTATTTTATTGATTTTTTTACAGAGAGGAAGGGAGAGAGACAGAGAGTCAGAAACATCGATCAGCCGCCTCTTGCACATCCCCCACTGGGGATGTGCCCACAACCCAGGTACATGCCCTTGACCGGAATCGAACCTGGGACCTTTCAGTCTGCAGGCCGACGCTCTATCCACTGAGCCAAACCGGTTTCGGCTAAGTTCAAATTTTATGGGGCTTTTTAATGTTGAAACACTATCTAAAGATTAAAAACAAACAACACAAAATCTTTCTTATCTCACGAAAGCACCCAGGTTAAAAGTTCATCTTTGAAAACAATAAAGTTCAAAATACAAAACCATAAAAAAATGTCAGAAACGGACTGACCAGGATTTTCAGGAAAGCTGTTGGTAGAAGCTGCCATACCTGAGAAATGGGAGTCACCACGAGCTGGTCGATCCCCGTCTTGGAATTGTAAACTTTCTGCTTCACAAAGCCAGGGTCCACCACGTAGTAGATGCCGTCAATAGTCAGCGATGTCTCTGCAATGTTGGTGGCAATCACAACCTGCAGATGAAGGGGACACAACTGGACTGAGCTAAGCAGGTTCACCCTGAGCTGTACACTTTACCGAGGCAGGAAACAGGGCTTCTGAACTCCAGCCTCTTCCCAAAGGAGGGTGCGGCAATCTCCCTCCCTACGGCATTAGAGAGCACAATCTCAGTTTGGCTTCAAAAGGGGAGGTGCCTTCTTTTTAAGGGTTAGCTTGGGATTGGAAGGCGGGGTGGGTACCTGAGAGGAAAAGTGGAATAGGAAAAAGCAAAGGCCACTCAAAGCCAATTTCATTTGATGCAAATGGCTACATATCTCATTTTCTAGATCCAATGTTGATTACTACAATTTTAATTTTCTAGCACCCTGGGAAAGCACAGACTTCCTGGCATCACATGTGCCAGGGCAAAATGAGATTTTTCTTCCCCCACGGGGACATCTGGACTACAAAATGGGCTGTTTGTGTATGTGGAACAAGAGGGAGTTTTTTTCTTCCTAATCGTAAAATGAACCATGAGGCAGCAGAGGAATTTCACAGTTTGCGTGTATGCAGCAGTATACGTGATCTAGAAGATTATTGGTCTCTGCTTGGCACTGCCACTGCTCTTCCACCCAGAGGTTCAGCTAATAAAACACAATTGCCTGGAAAAATCATTGCTAGGAGGCACCAGAACATCTCAGATCATGCCAGCACCTTACCGGCCCTGAGAGGCTTCAACCTGCCACAGAGCTGCAGAAGCCCTCTCAAAAAAAAGTCTAATCATCAGAAACAGAACAGAGAAGAAATCACAATCTTTCCCCCCAAACCTGCTCCTCTTGCATGTTTCCCTCCTCAGCACCATCTTCCTTCGATCCAGCTGCCCAAGCCAGAAACCTGGGATCATTCCTGACTTCTCCCCTGCCCTTCTCCCCTAAACTTCAGGCACCCACTATGTCTTGTCCAGTCTAACTCCTTAATGCTTTTCAAATCCATCTGTTTTCCATTCCTAAGGAAATGAAGCATATGTCCATACAAAAACTTGTAAACAAATGTTCATAGCAGCATTACTCATAATTGCTAAAATGTGGCAACAACCAAATCCATCAACTGATGAATGGATAAACAAAATGTGGTACATTCATATTTTGGATATAGAATAATATTCTACAACTAGAGGCCCAATGCACGAATTCATGCACCAGTGGGGTCCCTTGGCCTAGCCTGCAGGATCAAACCAAAGCCGGCTCTCCAACATCCCCCAAGGGATCCTGGATTGTGAGAGGGCACAGGCCAGCCCGAGGGACCCCACTGTTGCACAACTGGGGCCAGGGAGGGACGCGGGAGGTTGGCCAGCTGGGGAGGGACCGCAGGAGGGCTCCAAGGTGTGTCCATCTTGCTCAGCACTCAGTCCCAATTGGCCGGACCCCAGCAGCAAGCTAACCTACCAGTCGGAGCATGTGCCCCCTGGTGGTCAGTGCATGTCATAGTGACTGGTCGACAGGTCGACTGTCTGCCCCCCAGTGGTCAGTGCACATCACGCAAGTGGTTGAGCAGCCTTAGCATATCATTAGCATATTTCACTTTGATTGTTTGAATGAATGACCAGATGACCGGACACTTAGCATATTAGGCTTTTATCATATAGGATATTTGGCAATAAAAAGAAATGAAGTACATACTAGAACATGGATGAACTTTGAAAACATGCTACATCAAAGAAGCTAGTTACCAAAGACCACATATTATATGATCCCACTTATATGAAACATTCAGAATAAATTCATAGAGACAAAAAATTGATTATTGGTTTCCAGAGGCTGAGTAGAGGGATGAATAAAGGGTGATTGCTAAAGGATATAAGTGTGTTTTGGAGGGGGGTGGGGGGGTTGGGAGGTGATAAAATTGTAGTGATTAATGGTTAATGACTAATTGCCATCAATAATAGTAACTAATGATTGCACAATTCTGTGAATATACTAAAAACCACTGAATTGTATACTTTAAAGAAGTAACTTGTATGGTATGAAAATTATATCTCAATAAAGCTGTTATTTTTAAAAATCCATCTCTCTCCTTTCCCATCGCCTCATGCACACGCGCACATGCACCGTCAGTTCCAACTACTGGAACTACTCAGCTCCCTGAAATGGCCACACTCTCGCCTCTAGGCTGTCACAGGCTATGCTGTCTACTCAGAACACCTGTCCTGCTCTTCTTGCTTAGATGAACAACCACGTGTTCCTCAAGACTAGCTTGGATCCTTACTTCCTGTAAGGATACAGGGTTGGGTGCTCCCCTTCTGGGTGTCCAGAGCACCAGTAGCACTTTCACACTATATGTTAAAGGCATGTCTGCTGGTGGACGCCTCACAGTAGAAAGAGGCCTGTCTTCAAACTGCCACCCTGGTTCTACCCCAAACCCTGAAAGATGCTCAAAAAGTATTTGTCCAGTGAAAAAAAGAAAAGCTGCAGGGATCACATACAAAACCCACATTCCTTAGCAAACTGACTGGACCAGTCTCTAAAACATAATAAACAAGACTTACATACACCTAAGCAATCCGCCTTAGGGCAAGCACAAGGGAGCCTCATTTCTGCCCAGGGTTACCTTTCTGCTGCCGGGTGGAGCTGGGTCAAAGATTCGCGTCTGCATCTCACTGGGAAGAGCAGAGTACACTGGCAGGATAATCAACTCTGGAACATCAGGTCCCAGGGATTTCATTCTTTCATACAGGATCTCACAGGCAGTGTCGATCTCCTCCTGACCAGTCAGAAAGACCAGGATGTCACCTAAGAGAACAGGGCATTAATTTATTTTGTGTGTGTGGCTTCTATCCAAAGCCCCTAGTGACATTAACAGAGCTCCAAATGACAGAAAGCACACTCAAATTCCAACCTCTAATAAAGAGGTTTTTATACATTTGTTTATTCTGCTTACTTATTTATAATTCGTGTCTATGTTTAAATAGGTGCATTTAAACCCTGCACACCAATCTTATTTCTATTTTTACCAGCGCCATTTCAAACATGTAAGCCTAACACAATATTTAAAAGGCATTTTTAAAAAGCTGAATGAAAAAGATAACCACACTGACTTTTGGCCTAAGAGTTAAAAATCCTCTTTCCCCCTACCTGGTGGTTCTGTTAAATGGATCTGCATGACGGTGATCAAGCTGGCATCCAGATAATCTGTCTCAGGTTCCTTTGTGTACAATATTTCCACTGGATACGTTCGACCAGGGATGGTGAAGATGGGAGCTTCATAGAAGTACTGAGAAAACTTCACTGCATCCAAGGTAGCCGAGGTGACAATCAGCTTCATGTCCTGCCGTTTCTGAACTGTCTAAAGGGAAATGTAATGTGGCTTACTAAAAAGGACTACCCTGCCCGGCGGTGTGATCAGTGGTTGAGTATCAACCTATGAACCAGGAGGTCATGGTTCAATTCCCAGTCAGGACACATGCCCGGGTTATGGGCTCAATCCCCAGTAGGAGGCAGCTGATCAATGATTCTTTCATCATTTAAGTTTGTATCTCTCTCCCCCTCTCCCTTACTCTCTCTGAAATCAATTTTAAAAGATTTCTTTTTAATTTAAAAAAGGACTACCCAAAAAGGCACAGGTACTCAAATCCAATTCCCGGAATTCAGTTCTCAACAGCTAGGAGGGTCACCAAAGTGTACCCAGTTACCTTCTTCAACAATCCAAAGAGCACATCAGTGTGAATTGTTCTCTCATGTGCCTCATCCAACATGATGACCACATACTGCGTGAGGTCGGGGTCAATCAGGCACTCTCGGAGCAACATCCCGTCTGTCATGTACTTGATGACTGTTTCAGGGCTGGTACAGTCCTCAAATCGAATGGTATAGCCCACCTAAAGCAGAAGTTCAAAATCTTAGACACAAATCTCTCCTTTGTGTAATCACCAGGCAAGATTTCAGCCCAGTCAAACCTTTACCGTTATCTTGATAGACAAGAATTTAACCAAGATGTACGGTGATTTCCTCATAGTAAAATCAACCTTGGACTTGATCCTGAACATATCAATGATGACGATGAGAACCTCTCTCCCTCAGGAGAAACCTGAAAAATGGTTGCATTTATTCCCACTTTATAGATAGAGATCTGAGACCTGGCCTTACCCTTTCTTCAGGGTTTTACAGAACAGCTTCACCACCCACTTACCTCTTGGCCTAAGCAACAACCAAACTCCTCTGACACTCTTTTGGCCACTGACATGGCTGCCACTCTTCTAGGCTGAGTACATCCAATCTTGCCCCTGGAAGTGTAGCCTGCCTCCGCCAGGTACTGGGTGATCTGCGTTGTCTTCCCAGATCCTGTCTCTCCGATAACAATCAGGATCTGATTGTCATGGACAGCCTGGAAGCCAACAGAATACAAATACAGTCATTAAAATTGGCCACACATCACTCTGGAGTAAAATAATGAATGCGGATGTCCTAACACTAAAGGAGAAAAAAGCATACACAATAGTTAGTATACATATGGTAAGATTACAACCAGGATGTAAGATTACATGCCTGGGTTGCAGGCTCAATCCCCAGTAGAGGGCAGGCAGGAGGCAGCCAATCAATGAGATATTCTCTCATCATTGATGTTTCTGTCTCTCCTTCTCCCTTCCTCTCTAAAATCAATAAAAAACCACTTGGAAATGTTCTGGATTTTTTCCTATCCCCTTTGGAAAAGTCATTTCACACACCTGTCCAGCTAATTTCCATTAAAACATGTCATCTTATTCCCAGACCACTGTATCATGAAGGGGCTTCTCACCTGGACCAGCTGCTCCTTCAGTTTGTAGATAGGCAAGCTCTCTCTCTGCTCAAGGATTGACATCTGGGTCTTTTTTCCATAAGAAGCTTTGTTGCCCCCAAAGGCATGCTTCTTCCACTCGGGGATGTCATTGGGCATCATCCCAATACCCCTCATGTTGGCAGCAATCTGCCTGCCTTCCGCTGTAAAGGAAACAAATAACTTAATATTGTCCTCAAGCTACCCCACTGCCCCCTCCTCCACATTCAACAAATCAGATTTCTCCAGTACATCCCTCCTGTTAGCTGTGTTCAAGCCACCATCCTCTCCCCTCTGAACTAGTATTATAAAAATCTCCTAATTTATCACAGTGTCTATTCTTGCCATTCTTCAGTGCACCCTCAAAATCCTTTGGAAATGCAACTCTGATCATGCTACACTCCTGCTTAGAACTATGCAACAGACCTAGCCGGTTTGGCTCAGTGGATAGAGAGTCAGCTTATGGACTGAAGGGTCCCAGGTTCAATTCCGGTCAAGGGCACATGCCCAGGTTGTGGGCTCCATCCCCAGTAAGGGGCGTGCAGGAGGCAGCTGATCAATGATTCTCTCTCATCATTGATGCTTCTATCTCTCTCTCTCTCCCCCTCTCCCTTCCTTTCTGAAATCAATTTTAAAAATATATTATTTTTAAAAAAAGGAACTATGCAACATTTCCCAGTGAACTTCAGAATTGAGCCCTAATTCCTAATACCATCTACCAAGTCCTAGCCTTCCACCCTATATCCCCCACCACTCACCCATTACTCTGTATTCCAGCCACACACCTTCTTTCCCGCCTCACAGCCTCAGCACAGGCTATTCCTCAACCCAGAACACACTCCCCAGCCCCCTTTAACAGACTTTCCCAGGGAAGTGACCCACTGCAGCCAACTACACTATCTGTACTTCTTCATATAGCACTGGTCATGACTTAGTTATTTGGTAATTATTTGATAAACATAACCTTCCCCACTAAATTGTCTCATCAAAGCAGCTGTATCCTCAGTTGCCTAACACAAATTAACAAAATACTTGTCATGACTATATCCAGCAGTTAGTTAATATTTATTATACAAAAAATTATATGAAAAAGGAAGTTTCAAAGCTGCATTATTTTTAAGTTATTCAGTAGAAAAACTCAGCCAGCTTAATAATTTTACCAGGGTTACTAAAACATTTTTTATTTTAAACATTTGTTTTAAAAAACATGCTTTAACTAAAGGAAAAAGCAAATTACCAAACCCAAGGCTAAATCTTTGGTTCGTGCTGGCAGTGCCCCTCCCAGCACACTTTAAAGGGTCAGATTTGTTTTTTAAGTTCACCCTCCCACACTCCTAGGGTCCTACCATCAGGCAAAGGATCAACCCAATGTTTGTTGAGTCCCATGGGAATAGAATCCATCTCGGCTTCTCGCTGGGCTTGCTTGAGTTCCCGTCTTTCTTTGGCCAAGGCACTCTGCATCATGGCTGCCTGAGAGAGCGAGCCGTCCGGGTTCTAATGCAAGAGGACAAAGCAGCATTAGAGTGGGATCTCAGCGTGCGTTAGATGTCCAGGAAATAAAATGTAGATGTTAAACCACCTGAACCTAAAGAATAAGACCCACCTAGAAAAACAGTTCATACCAGACTACGTGAAAGAAAGTATAGCTAATTCAGAGAAAATGAACAAGGACAATAATAAATCACTGAAGGAATTGAGGATGTTGACTTAAAATTGAGAACCCCAAGAGAGATAGAACATATAAGAAAGGAAGAAAGCCCTAGCTGGTTTGGCTCAGTGGATAGAGCATTGGACTGCAGACTGGGAGGTCCCGGGTTAGATTCCGGTCAAGGGCACATGCTCCGCTTGCAGGCTTGATCCACAGTAAGGGGGGTGCAGGAGGCAGCCAATCAATGATACTCTCTCATCACTGATGTTTCTATCTCTCCCTTTCCCTTCCTCTCTGAAATCAATAAAAATATTTTTTTTAAAAAGGAATAAAAATACTTCTGTATGGACCCAAGAACTAAAATGAAGACCACTGGGGACACTTCTGGAAGACAGATTTCAGTTCCACCTAAAGAACGAATGATCAGATCCACCTGCAGGTGGAATGAGTTTCCTTAGGGCTGTGAATTCCCTATCCCCAACAATGTCACGCAGATGTGAGAAGACCACATGGAGGAACACTGAAGAAAGAGACATGGGTGAATACAAGCACTGAATGGGTGGCTGGGCTGAGAGACCTTTAAGAAAACCCTTTTCCAAATCTAAAATTTTATCTTAACTGTTCCATGAATTCTTCTCCTGACAGATAGGCCACAACACCCAGTGCTAATAGCTTTATGTTAGGGGCCAACAGCAAGTGAACCCTTCCAAATTGCCTTTGAATATGCAAGGTTATGATTCAAGCCCTAAGGCCTGGGCATAATTGTGATGGTAGATCAAGCACACATATTTATCTCTGTTTCTTAAAAAAGAAAAAAAAAAAAGTAAAAGAATTACAAAGGCAAAAGCAGGGTCAATATCCTTTTAAAACAAAAATATTCTAGACCCTAATCAACAGTCAATACTACCTCCTGTGGTCTGAGTTCTGCTTACACAGATGAATAAACTGCTCTGAAAACTGAATTGTTACATTAAGAAGTTCACTTGACAAGTTCAGGTTAGAGTCCCAGCGTTTCTCACCTTAACAATTTTAATAGGGCTCATGTCCATGCTTTGCTTGGTGTGCCCTCTCAGGAAGGGAGGCTCTTCCTCAACCAGTTCGATCTCAAGGTCCTCATCTAAAAGTCCCCCCAAAAGAAGAATTAGTCAAAAACAAAAGAGAGAAGTGACCAACCATTTTCATCAAAAGAATTAATTTCCATAAGCACCAGAAATCATCACCAAATTTGCCTCCCAAGGTCAAAAGGACAGAAATGCAAGTAAAGCCACACCCAGCTGTCTGTTACCGCCGGCCTCCAGCCATTTCCAGGGCCTTTGTGCTCCCACCAAGAACTAACCAGAACCACTTTCAAAGACATTAAGCCTGTGGGAAATGCTGCTCTGATATTCTAGATGGTACTAAGGTACTTGCCATCCCCCTTAATTATAGAATTTACTCTTAACCCACAACAGAGTTGCACACACACAAAAAGAATTAAGTTGGACAAAGGGACAATACTAAATGCTGCCAAGAATGTGGAGCCACAGGCCCTGTTGGTCTGGCTCAGTGGATAGAGCATCAGCCTATGAACTGAAGAGTCCCAGATTCGATTCCAGTCAGGGGCACATGCCCAGTTGCGGGCTCGATCCCCAGTGGGGGGCATGCAAAAGGCAGCCGATCAGTGATTCTCTCTCATCATTGATATTTCCATCTCTCTCTCCCTCTCCCTTCCTCTCTGAAATCAATGTATATATATATGTATATGTATATGTATATATATATACACACACACACACACACATATTTTAAATGTGGAACAAAAGGAACTCACTCACATTTCTGTTAGAAATGGAAATTGGTACAAAAACTTCAGAAAACAATTTGGACTGCTGGTAGAGTTGAACATGCACATTCCTACCACCCAGTAATTCTTCTGAATATTTAGGAAAAAAGAGGTCTTGCATATGTGCAGCAAGAGACAAGTACAGAAATTTTATAACAGTATTAGTTATAAAAGTAAATAAAGACCAGAAACAGCCCATATGCCATCAAAAGTAAAATAGATAAATTATGGTAAATTTAGATAAAGCAACACTCTATAGCAATGAAAATGAATGAAATACAACTATAAAAATCAACACAGATAAATACCAAAAGAATGATAATGAATCAAAAAAAAAATAAGTTCAAAAACAAACTAATGTTTAGGGACAAATATATAGATAGTAAAATGTTAATAGGAGTGAGGAAATGAATAACACAAAATTTAAGAGGGTGGATGCACAGAGGAAGGAGAAAGATCTAATCAGAGGGGCACGTAAGGGTCAAAGGTGCTGGTAAAGCTCTACTTTACTGGTAGGTAAGTGTGTAGATGTTCATTTAGTAGGTGCTCATTTACTGTTATTATATAAATTATGTATGTTCCATTACAGGATTTATTTCACAATTTTTAAAAATTGTTAATGGACTGAGTTAAAAATTGTTTCTAGGACAACTCAGAGTTCATCTAAGTGGACCCAGGGTTTTCAGAACAATTACTAAGAATATGAAATCAAATTTAATCCTCAAAATATAATTAAACATTTTCTATCTTGAAAACTTATTATAAGCAACAAGCATAATAATATACAAATGTTAGCCAGAAACATGAATTTTTTTGCTTCCATCATGGAGAGACGCTTGTTCTTAAGAGAGATGAGTGGTGAGACCCAAGGAACAAATGACTCAGAACCACTGGATTAAACTACAAATAAACCACCTTGTCCAATAGCTCAATTTTCCAACTTTCCTCCCAATTCATTATCCTGCTCAATCCCACTGGCTAGTTACCTTCTTCATCATCTACTTTAGGAAGAATGCCAGTCTCTTCATCAAAGTCTGGAAACTCTTCTTTGGAAAGAACATTAGCAGCAATCATCTAGCCAAAGGACAGAAAGCAGCATTTGTAACTTGCCAAGATCAAAACTCTTCTTTTGTAGAAGAATTAATACAGACGTTTCATGTAGAAAACCAAGGTGTTTTTTCTCTTCTAACCAAGGATTGCAGAGCCTCAAACATCATAAATCCCACCCCTGGGGGACAAGACAACATGGTGCCCGAAAGTCTGGCTCAAGTGTCTCTTCCCCAGAAGAGTTATCTGCTAATTCTGCTCCTTTCCTTGGTTCCATAGCATTCTACACATGCTTTATTATGTAATATGTAAACCTTTACAATTTTTTGTTTCAATTTGTCTCCTCCACTGGACTTGGGAGTTCCTCACAGGAAGGAACCATCTTTGTAGCCCTAGCTTTTACATAGTACCTGGGACACCCGTGGTTCTGATATTTACTGATGAATGATAAAAACAAGAGCAAAAATTTACATAGCGCCCTAGCTGGTGTGGCTCGGTGGATAGAGCATCGGCTTGTGGACTGAAGGGTCCTGGGTTCGATTCCAGTCAAAGGCACATGCTAGGGATTGTGGGCTCAATCCCTAGTAGGGGGCGTGCAGGAGGCACCCAATCCATGGTTCTCTATCATCACTGATGTTTCTATCTCTCCCTCTCCCTTCCTCTCTGAGATCAATAAAAATATATTTTAAAAAAAAATTTACATAGCATTACCACATATGCAGGCACTAACCTAAGAGTTTTACTTCTATTAACTCATTTAGTCCCCACAAGTCCACCACCGGCTGTTTTTACAGAGAAGCATACCGAGGCACAGAGGGAGAATAACTTGGCTTAGAATCACACAGCTAGTAAGTGGCCAGAAGTCACCCAGGCCATCAAGCTCCAGGGCCCACACTCTTAACCACCATGCTACATACTGAGTGGCTATGTGGCTATGAAAGCAAAGGGCCCCAACCTGTTTGATCTCCCACTTCTCTGGGTCAGAGATGCGGGTCAGGCGCTTGCGCTCCAGCGAGTCATCCTCTACTTCAGGGGCACTGATGAGGGAGAGGTGAGTGGGTCTGTCCGGATTCCTCATAGAAGTCTCCTCATTGGTCTCCCCGACAAGATTTCGCCGTCGATTTGGGTTTAGATCTTCCCCAGTCTCTTGATCGACATCCTAAGGCACACAGAAGACGAAGCTAGCTCACTTGCTGTCCTCTTACGTATCCTGGGCCATCAGATGTGGTAACAGGCTGTATATCTCACCTACCTTCATGCTCAAACTGGTCTTGGTCCCAGTGAAGGACAACACTTTGACCTTGACTCTCTGGCCTTTGCTCACCACATCAGCCACATTAGCGACACGGCCTTCCCGCCGGAGCTCAGAAATATGCACCAGGCCTTCCCACCGCTTCCTGAGGGAGAGTCAGACACATCCAAAGCATGTCTAAGATACCTTTTCCCAACAGACTTCTACCCTTGTTGGAACTGAACAAATGGAAATGGTCTTAAGCTCAAGAGGAAAGTAACAAGAAGGGGGTCAAACAATAGAATAGCATATAGTATTACCACGCTCCCTCCCAAAAACATGAGGCAGCAGCGGGAGTAAGAATTGAGCAGACTCTTATCTGTCTCAATCAGCCAAAGGGCAGATCTCCTGAAGACCGAGGAAAGAAGAAATGGCTCTGCAACACTTCAAACACGAAGTCAATTTCTAATCAACTGATATGGCTGATTTAAGTGTCATTAATCATAACTTTCTATAATGTGAAAAACCCCAGTGATAAAGAAATTCTGCCCATTACTGGTGTGCAAGAAGGGCGCTAGCCATTACCTCAGTCCCTCTAGCTGCACAAAGCATCCAAACTGCATGATGCTGGTAACTTTGCCATTGTAAATGTCCCCGATAGCAGGCTCTTCCGGGGGAGGGCGGTCCACGTGCTTATCCCGCCATCTGTCCAGATTCCTCTCCCCATACTTGTCTCGGTCCTTCCGGTCTTTGGGGGGACTCTGACTTCTGCTCCTGGACCGATATCTAGACTTCCCTTTATTCCTCTCCCGGGTCCTGGAACGTGATCGAGAACGGGACCGATGTCTCCGCTTGTGGTCTCTATCACGGTCTCGTTCTCTATCACGATCACGATCACGGTCACGCTCTCGCTCTCGGTCCCGGCTCCGGCTCCGCTTCTTCTTCTTCGACTTGTCCCTAACAAATCAACAGACACCTGTGTAAAAAAGAAACCAGCCCAATTCCATCTCTGCATCCCCAGCACCCAGCACAGTGCCATGCACCCGGTTAAGTGCCTTCTAAGAGTTAAACTGAATTACAGTTTCAATAACTATGACATCCCTGCAGATCAATAATGAGGCCCTAAACATATTCAGCCTCTGAGCCCATACTTCCATCTTCTGAACATCTTGGCATTTGCTGCATACATACTCCTGCCAGGGAGCAATAAAAATAGATCTAACAACATGGTAATGGCCAGTCTAGATTCTGTCAACCAGCCCAAAATTTTCCTTGGCTGGTCCGCAAAATTCAACTCCCACAGTACGCTAAACGTCCACAAGATAGGGCATCAAGGACAAACCGGCGCTCAGCATCTCTCTGCTTCTCCTGGCCCGCTGCGCTGGGCATTAAAGCCTCCAGTTCTTTCAGGACATCCACAGCGACCTTCACATCATCCTCATCCAGCATGGTCTGCAGAGGCACAGGAGCAAAGTTACAAGAGGTGGGGGGAGAATATCACTCAAAATCAGGAGCATTTGAGATCTTGTTTTCTGACAATGTCCTCAGTTTGGCTCAAATAAACACTTATTAAAAAATCTGTACTTCAGGTACTACAAGTCTGACCGTCTCTACATTGCTAACTGCCTATGTGAAGGAAGGGGGGGGCGGCAGAGAAAAGGTGGAGATTCCCAACACAATTTGAGATAGAGGCAGAGGTATGCACAAAAGCTCTTGGAAGTCACTTCTACATTTGGCAAATCCCCTTTGTCCTTAATGCAAGGCTATGGAAGGAAATTAGATATCACCCCTTCTGTGAAAGCAATGCAAATGATGATTATAAATAGAAAATAGATGCTAAAATTTTTAAAAAGCAACTCTCCCTCTGCATTTCCTTCTCCCCTTTCACCTGCTTGGTTTTTTCTATAGTTCTTACCCCTGTCAGCTATCTATACATATGTGCTTACTTATTTGTTTATTGCCCGTCTCCTCTCTGCTAGAGGAGTTTACATATATTTATTTCCTGCCCCCATCCCAATACTAGAATGTAACCATCTCCAAGAGGGCAGAAACTCTAATCTACCTTGTTCACTGCTGTATCCCTGGTACTTAGAACAGTGCTTGGCACATAGTAGATACTCAATAAATACTTGCTAAAATAAAATTTTAAAACCAAAACATTTCAAAAATTAGACATTCTAACAAGTAATGGAGCAAAAAATCTAATTTTACACATCAGGCATCTGTTCCAGACCCTTAAGTTATTTCATACCTATTTCATATCCCTATTCACAGCTTTCCACAATTCCTAATCTCATTTCCTTCAAATATCATTCTTGAACCCTTCAACATTATTCTCTATGTAGTACATGCTCAGGAATGATCAAATATTTTCACTTTGAAAAATATATTACAATAAAGAAAAACTTAAAATAATAAGTAATGGAAAAAGAGAGAAAGAAAAAAATTAACTAATGAGACAAAGAAAAGAGACAGGGTGGGGTAACATGCAGTTACAGTAGACATTCTCAAAACGGTATCAGTACCCGAACAGAAGGGTTGTCTGGTTGGCAAAGGACTGGAAAGAGTTCTTTCAGCTTTTCTTTCTCAGTTTTGGGTTTAACAACTGGATCTTGTTTCATTAAAGAACATGAAAGAATGTAAAAGAAAAGATATATTTAATATTCTTAACGGTTAACAAAAGAACTTCATTAGATTTGCATCAAATTAAAAGCAGAACATGGAACTTTTCTACATATTACTCTTATATATCACTAGAAACATAGTTTAATTTTCTAAAAAAAATCTCTATATATAAAACTCTAATATGCAAATAGACCGAACAGAAGAACCACCAAACAACAGGTCACTATGACGTGCGCACTGACCACCAGGAGGTGCATGCGGAACATGGCGGGCATCGGTAGCAGTGGAATGGTGAAGCAGGTGAGTTGGGGCGCCAGACCAAGGCAGGGCACCAGTCGCTGTCATCGGGGCGAGCCTCTGGCGGTTACTGAAAATTCCTTGCTCTTGCATGCCACGGTTCTACCTGGCACTCACACCTGCTGCCGGCGTCTGGTGCTGGTCCTGACCGCTCAGCACCGTCAGCAGGTGTGAGCAGCAGCTGCCAGCCCCAATAGCCCCTGAGGGCTTCTCCACCTCCCTCTGCTCCTGAGGGGCGATCTGGGCAGCAGCCGCTGCTCACACGTGCTTATGGCACCAGCCCCACTCGCACCCGCTCCTTGGTGCCAGCCCCAATCGCTCCACACCATCAGCAGCAGCTGTGGGAGCAGCAGCAGTGGGAGCGGGGCTGTCGGCAGACAGGGGACCAGGGGCCATGGTGGGAGCACAGAGGATGAGCCGAGACCCGCCCCTGTGCCCACTGCAGCCTCACGGCCCACAGTTCCTTTCAAGGTGCACAAATTCATGCACTGGGCCCCTAGTTGATTATAAAACCTCAACAAACTATGTGGGCATCGGGAAGTGCATCAGTATTCATTTGGTTGGTTATGTCTTATAATCCTCACAATTTTAACTTTAAGTCATTTGAAAAATTTACTACAACATTTACTTGTTCAGCAGCTGCAACAAGCGAAACAAACACACTATTCTTAATGGTTAACAAATGAACTCCCATACTAGATTTGCATCAAACCAGAAGCAGAATGCTTGACAGTCTACACCATTCTGGAGGCTACGCTCAGCTAGCAGCTCTGCTCACCTTTGCTAGTAGAAGGCTTTGCTGGAGGCCGCATGGTTTGTATGAGACGCAGCAAGTTGCTAATAAGAGAATCCTTTGAAAACAAACAGAACAAAAATTGTCAGCTCCTGGATCAGTGCTTAAAACACTAAGAAGAGGGATGTCCTCTAAAGTTTAGAGAAGAGTGGTTATCCCTGCCTGCCCCATTTTTCTAGAAAAGTGTCACAGGAAATCCAGTTACAGCACCACTGCTTAGTGGCATGAAAACATTACACTTGATTGTCTAACCACTACGCTGTATACCTGAAACTGATACAGAATAATATTGAACATAAACTGTAATTGAAAAATAAAAAAAAGTTATACACTTAATGTTGTATCTGATTGGTATGTACAAAGTATCTCCTTTCTCTATCAAAACCCTAATTAAATCCTATCAAAATTAAAATTCAATAGTGACAGTAAAATAAAGCAGGGGTCTCCAGACACACATACCGTGAATTCTGCACCATTTTTGACCAGTGAAGTCTTAAAAGTATCAAAGGTGGTATTTTTCTCAGCAAGACTGATCACAAATTCAGCTGCAAGAGAAAAAAGAAATTAAAACAAGAATGGAGACTTGAGCAAAAAAACCAATTTAAAAAATGTTATAAACAAAACTAACTAGGTTATCCAAAGTCATAAAAACCAAAGACCACCATCCAGTAAGGGTAAAGGAAGAGAACTTAGACTACCAAGATTATCCATGTTGGTTCCAGCTAAATTTTTTTAAAGATCTCATTGGCTTTATTGAACAATTCATGAATCAGGCAGCATCCCATCTAGTAAAAAAAAAAGGTATTCTTATTCTAGTTCATTTTTCAAAATCCTCACTCCAGAATATGTTAATTTTAGAGAGAAGAAGGGAGAGTGAGAAACATCGACTGGTTGCCTCCCATATGCACCCCAACTGGGGATCAAACCTGCAACCTAGGTATGTGCCCAAAACCTTTTTGGTGTACAGATGATACCCCAACCAACTGAGCCACCCGGCCAGGGCTCTAGATAATTTTCACAAATGAAAAGCTGACACTACAAAATGGCTCACCAGGCCTCTGAGTGAATGTAAGGAAGACCTCCTTGTCCCATAGCATCGTAATCTCTTCCATGAAACTACTAGCTAGAGGTTACAATGTCTGAAAGCATGAGCCCATACATACACCCACACATACACACACTCACAACGGATGCATGCACAGGGTGCGTTCTACAGCTTATGGAAAGGCAGACTCTACATATGAGGGCCGGGCAGCTGCTGGATGGTACAATCTCCAAGCTAATGAAAGACTCACTTCCCCCCAAATTTTTCTCCGTAAACCTGCCTAGTTTTTGAAACTTCTAATGTTAGAGCTATTTAATAATTAAGAGACTTTCAGGAGAGAAGTGCATTTTAGGATAAGCTGAGATAATATGCCTCCAACTGTGAGTCCTAGGAGAAAATTTGAATGATTTCATTCGGATTTAAATCCTAACAAATAACAATTACATGGAAGATGTGAATAACGAACATAAATTAGTCCTAACATACCATTTCCATGTTGGAATGTGCCTTTACCTGTTTGATGACAATAAGTGAAAACCAAATGCCATCAGGCGACAATGGACTTAATAACTACAGTGCCAGTGGTTAAGACTTTTTGACCATCTACTACATGCCAATCACTATGCTATGTGCTTCCTTCCCATGATCCTCACAACAGCCCTCACAGGTGGTTATTGTGGGATATCTTGGGCCAGGTCAGGCCGCCCCAAGAGATCCCACAACGGCGTATTGATTACTTTGCCTTAAAGTTAATCAACAAGCAGCCGCAGCAAGAAGAATAACTCTACCATCATTATCATCATCATCATCATCATCATTATCATCATCATCCTCAACAACAACGACGACGCAGCTGCTGTTGTTAACGCTGCTTAATTTATCTGATATCTGAGGCGGGGGAAAAAAAAGAGCAAGCAGCGATGGCCGCTCTGGGTTTCACTGACAGCCCTGGAAAATGGTATCTAACAACTCCCCCGGGAGAGCTCTGATGCGGAAGCCACGGCCGCAGGTTTCCTGGGCCCAAGTCTCTGAGAGAGAGAACGATTCCTACGGACACACACCCAGCCCCTCAACCCATTTCTCCTTCCGCTTCCCTGGACCCCAAACCGGAGGCCGCGGAAACTTCCCCGAGCTCACCCAGATCCTTGTCGTTGATCCCCAAGTGATTGTCCAACTCGGTGCAAACCTTCGACACTAAAGACAGATACTCGAGTTTGGCGAGTTCTTCCGCGGGGCCGAGCTCCGTCCCGTTTACGGCTCCCACCATGGCCACAGCCACCGCCATGGCTACGGCTTCCCCCCGCCTCCTCACCGCTGGCCTTCGGAGCTACACCGGCCCGGTTCCCCCAATTTCCACTTCCGGGTCGGCGCACATCCCTTTTGTTTACGATAAATTGAAAATTCCAGGAACTTCCCGTGACGTAACCGGGTGGGTCATAGAGATCGGACAGGAAGTGTCTAAGGAAGGGACGGCCGGGTGGGCTACTCTGCACACCCGATGGCGCCCTCTACAGGCCAGCGAGCTTCTTGGCGGACTCTCAGGCCGGGAACAGTCGCTCTCAGCGCGTTCCTTTCCTGCGTCGGCAGAGGGCGACCGTGGCCCGCGCAAAGGGCGCCGGAGGAGGTCGCGATCCACACGCGCCTGCGCTTTAGAAGCCTTGAAAAAGAGACCCAAATTCAAGGGGAAAAGGCAAAACTTGCTTTACAACAGACCCCTATATTCCCAAGGCTGTGCCTCTTCGTGGCTCACGACTATCTCAGGGGACTCTGTAACAACCAGCAGGCAATGGAGTCTAGTTCTGTTACTAACTCATTTTACACGTGAGGCAACGGACAAGTGACCTTGGGCAAATTAATCTCAGCGGCCTCAGTTTTCTCTTCTGTTCATTGGGATGATGATGCTCCAACTGGGTTCAGGTGATGACTAAATGAGATAGCTATGCAAGGAGCCTGACGCAGTAAACTCACTGCAAATAGCAGTTACCACCATTCCAAGGCCCAAACAGTGGTCACTGTAAGGTTTGTGAACCTCAGATCCCCTCAGTCTGAGTCCCCAGAATGCCACCTCTCGTGAAAACTACTCTCAACCCCTGATTTTCTTCATGCTAATGAGGCTAATCACCTCCGTCCTCTCAGAACTTGTACCCAAAAACATCTGCTATGCTGTGAACCCACTGTCATAAGCTCAGGTCTCCCAGTTTCTGCTTCAGGTCCCCTTTTCCTTTTCGGTAACTCTGTGCTGAGATGAGGATTTTCCCACACCGCCCTGCTCCGTGTGATGAACAAGGACACCGAGGCACCCCAAAGTCAGTGGCCCTGTACTCAATCAAACGGGAAGGAATCGGATTCTTTTGCTTTTAGCTTCAGGCTACATCACACTGCTGCACTTTTGGAGTCTGTTCACCCAACATCTCACCGGGCACTAAAGAACGGCCAGGAGAAAACCCTGGAGTGGTCGTTCTCACTGCCTCCAGGAGCTCCATATCTCCAGGTTCCTACAAAGTCAGCACTGGCCCTGCCCAGTTTGGCTCAGCGGAAAGAGCGTTGGCCGGGAGACTAAAGGGTCAAGGGCATGTACCTCCGTTGCAGGCTCAGTTCCTGGCCAGGTCCGGATGCATGCAGGAGGCAACCAGTCGATATCTCTCACATTGATGTCTCTCTCTCTCCTCCTCCTCCTCCCTTCCACCCTTTCTAAAAATCCATGGAAAAATATGCCTGGGTGAGGATTTAAAAAAAAAAAAAAGTCAGTACTGTACTATCTAACCTCTTCCTACCCCTCCCTCTCTTTCTCCTTTTCCCCATGTGTAGAATGGAAAATCCTGCACTTGATTCCACATGCTCAACTTGCCAGTTTGGAGTTAGGATCACAAGGGCTTATTCCATTTGACTTCCTTTCTTTGTGCTTCTTTGCCTTTAAATTAGATTTATATCCTGCTTTCCTCAAATATTTAACTGGAAGCGGGGAAAACCTGGAGTTTGATTTGTTTTAAAAGCTCTGTGGGGGAAAATGTCTATAGAACCATAACATGTAGCAAGAGTAACAACATAAGACCATAAAAACTTTTCTAATTATTTGTAAACTGGACCGGAGGGCCGGAACAAAAGCATGGATGGAGTGTTTGTGTGAACTAATATAAATTCAAAGTAAACATCATTACATAAAAGGGTACGGTCTTTTTTTTTGTTTTGTTTTTTTTAGTTTTATTCATTTCAAACGGGCCAGATCCGGCCCGCGGGCCGTAGTTTGCCCACAGCTGCTATAGAACCATAACATGTAGCAAGAGTAACAATATAAGACCATAAAAACTTTTCTAATTATTTTAAAATTATTGAATATTTATCTCAGTAGTAAATATTAACAGCAAAACGTATTAAGTTTTATTTACATATGCCATTAAATGCATGTTTTCCAAAGTGAATATTTTTTATGCAACACACATATTACCTGTTACAGGTAATATGCTGAAGGAAAATAAGTAAATACATAGGTACTGACAACGTGACAGCCCAAACACAGATGCACGTGTTCTGGTCAAGGGCATGTACCTTGGTTGCGGGCACATCCCCAGTGGGGGGCGTGCAGGAGGCAGCTGATCGATGTTTCTCTCTCAACGATGTTTCTAACTCTCTATCCCTCTCCCTTGCTCTCTGTAAAAAATCAATAAAATGTATTTTTTAAACAAAAGAAAGAAAAGAAAAGAGAGTGCTGTAATAAACTATAAATTCCTAACTGGGCAGGTCATGGTGTGTAGTCATGCCCCAGGCCTACAACTTCTCTAAGGAAAAGTTTTTAAGCCAGCCCTCTCCATTGTTCTTGTGCATCTAGGTTAATATGCCTTTGAAAGGCCAGAATTAATAACCCCTCGAAGATGTAACCACCCTCAAGAAAGCACATAATCCCTGCCTTGATTTCTCCCCCCTTGTAATCTCCCTTATGTGTTCCCTCAATTTCAAATGCATAAAAGAAACTGTGAAACTGTCATTCTCCAGAGCCTTTGAGATCTTGCTTCTCAGCACTGTCACTGTCAGTTTGGCTCAAATAAACTCATAAAA